CCCCCCCCCACTTTATGCCTTTACCTAACCTAACATAATATAACTATAAATTAACGTTAACCCCGTTGGGGGAGGCGTGGAGGCGGGGCTATACATACTGTAATTGCTATTCAATAATGTCTGTTCAACAATCAAACCCGTGCGCGCGCTTTCAATTTACAGTTTTTCTAATTAAAAAAACTAAATTAAATTATTTTATTGTTTTAATAGAGCGAGGTAATTTGCATATTCAATTGTTTGACGGGTGTTTACATACAAAAATCAATTATTATATAGATTATTACCGTATTTTGCATTTGAAAGTATAGAATAAGTGAAATGCAAATTAAATTATAAGATTTGGTGAAAAGTTAAAATCAAATACTGCTATCAGTAATAACCAAATTCTTATATATTTAAATGTTTAATTAAAAACATTGTAATCAATACAAACACTTGTGATTTATTAGTAATTTATTATATGAATACTTTTATATTACAATTTAATTGATTCAATATAAATCAATTTGATTGAAAACTCTTAATTAACTATAATTTGATTATATTTTTATGTGAATATATTAATCAATTTCAATTTACAGTTTTTCTAATTAAAAAAACTAAATTAAATTATTTTATTGTTTTAATAGAGCGAGGTAATTTGCATATTCAATTGTTTGACGGGTGTTTACATACAAAAATCAATTATTATATAGACTAGTCTACTAGCATAGAACCACCCGTCGCTTACTATTACTTTTTCGTGCGATTAGATGACCCTGTACCTTAAAATTTACTTGTCCCTACCTTTCTTAATTGTCCCCTACCTACCCAACCTAACCTAAACCAAGNGTACCTTAAAATTTACTTGTCCCTACCTTTCTTAATTGTCCCCTACCTACCCAACCTAACCTAAACCAAGTCAATATAACTTAAACATTATAAATATGGCCAACAATTCATTAGCCCGCGTGCTTGCAATCAACAGCTTTTTAACAATTAAAATCCCCGCGCGCTCGCATTTCCCGTTAAAAAATTAATCAATTAAATCAAAAACCATTGTTGCATGCACTACAATTTATATTGTTGCGCAATGTTTAGCGACAAAATCTTTTGATATATATGATTTTGATATATATTAATTACCCGTCAAATCTCACTATTAAAATTTATTACACTCAAGGATAGTGTTCAGTCGAAACGTTAATTAACCATCAGATCATTAAACATCAGATTTGTAAAGGCATCATGAACTTATTCTTTCATCATTTGTTTAATTAATCCGATTCTAAACGATTACATCGCAATCAGCTCATATCAATATTTATTATTTAATTGGAAACCCTCCTCACACCCGCACAGACTTATGTCTGGCACTCCAATTATTTTTGTTTATTATTTTGTCGTTGTGTATTTTAATTTGACTATCAAACTAATTATATATTTGATAATACAT